TGAAAACTCAAAAATTTGCCTCCAAAATTATAATGTAATTTAACATTTGTCTACTCTAGTCATACACCAGTTTCCAGCCCCATTAGATTCTTAGTTTTCTAGGCATTTCACTCTTAAATACAATGTACTTTACACTGATGAACATAGGCATCAGTGTACTGTACGTGTACAGCTTAGTCTACACAAAGTTTGATAGACTCCGCCGTGCACATGTACGAGTTGGGAGAGACCACTTGGAGCTGGCCATTTGAATGCACTGCCCATCAAGCCTGAAACTCATGCAAATATGCCACAGGTTTTCATTTAGGTTTAAACAAGTTGCCCTATTTCGTGACTTCTGCACGCACCAATAAGCGCACACGACGTGTCTCCCTCCCACACTGGCTTTGAAAGTGGTCACAGAGCGTCAAATTTTGTTCATGCACGGAGTCCATACACTTAATTATGAAATGACAAAAGTCTATACAGGAAACTGCAGCGTACAATGTCTGAGGAAAAGGGTGTCTATCAGAACAGAAGTAATTTAAAGGCTACCCCTCTTTTGGCAGTTATGAAAAGGAAGTCACGCATGAAAGCCATTGGCCGCAACAAAGTCAGATCGATTCTTGACTCTGCCTGCTTCATACATTCAACTGAGCAGGACATATGTCTCTTTCATTTGTGTTCTTGAATAAATGTCAGCAACAAGTGGGAGTTGCTGTTGGAAATTTTCTCGAAAAACATTTTCTTTTGCAGTTTCATTAAAATTTCAGTTCAAAAATACTGTCAGAAGAGGCAAGCACCACTAAGGCTATCGTACGAAAATACATACATACAATCAGCTGGAAATTTCTATCAGAAAAAGCATGGATGTGTTGAGTGTACTGCTTCTTATGGCTGGATTTGAGGCCAGTGTGGCGACTGTTTGCCGTGTGGGCTGGCACCGATATGGAAAGGCTTGCTATTTTGTGATCAAGGAACTAAATAGTTGGCACAAAGCAAAAAGCATCTGTGCTGCTTCTCATGCAAGCCTTGCAGTTCCCAACTCATTGGAAGAACAGACATATATATGGGAATTACTCCAGCTGGAGTTTTATCCTGATGGTCCAGGGAATGGTGCCTGGATCGGCTGCAATGATATTTACCAGGAAGGTGCTTGGCAGAATTGTCCTCTCAGAAATGACAACAATAACATGTTCCAGAACTGGGGAGAAGGAAAGCCTGACAATCAGCGTGGTGGGGCTGATTGTGCACTGATGCTCAATTCAGCAGGTGGCATATGGGTTAACCAGTTATGCACCAATCCAAGATATGCAACATGTGAGCTTGCTATCATCGACTACGACCCTCTATTCTGCCTTCAGATCGGCTCCAATGGTCGCATCACCTCCCCGTGCCTCACTAATAACCACGTCTTGATGGAGTTACAGGCTCAGGGTCTGGTGTCTTGAGGCAAGGCCTGCCTCTCTCATCCCAAATGTAGCTCCTTCAATCTGAAGGACCAAGGCCAGGGCAAGATGGTGTGCCAGCTGAATGACCTCGCCCTTCAAAATGCAGCTACTGAAGATGTTGAGGAAATCGAGAACTGCTACGGCCTGGATCTGTAGAAACTGGTTGCATGAAGCAAACTGATACAAAGGATATCCTTCAGAATGCTCTGATGAACAGGTACATGGGCTGACATTTTCAATGCAAGTACATGTCATGTACAAAGCACAGTGGTGGCATACATTTTCACAGCTGAGAGTGAATGACTATTTTGTGGAGATTTGTTGTGAACTGCTAGAAATTTGCAAGGATTTACAAGTTTGGAAACACTTGTAGTAGTCTGTAAGTACAACATTTGTCTTAGTGAGTGTTGTGACTGTTTAAAGTACATAATTTGCATAGTATTTAGAATTCAGTTTGTTTTGTTTAGATAAATAGCCTGTGCATTGGCAGAAATGTAGCCAAAAAGTAACCACATACATGTACACTTTGCTTTGTTTAATATGCCATTAGTAAAAGGGGAAAAAAGGCAATTTCTGACCACTTTAACCATTTTTTTATTTAGCAAAAGATAATCATGTAAACATCATTTTCGAGGTTGGAGTCATTGAATCAGCTATTTCGGGCTATAGAATCAAATGTAGGCAACAATTTTTTATTCACGAACGAAAATAGTTGAGGGGAGGGGGAACGACATGTCCCCCCGTCCTCCACTGATCGACGCCCATGGACTTGGCACCATGCTTCATAACGACAGACTTTTAATACACGCAAATTGTATACTTACATGTATGCCTATACAGCGGCAGAGAAATTGAAAATTCTGAGAGAGACCCCAACACCTCCTAAAAGCTTTTCTCTGCATGCGTGTGGGTGTGTGTGTGGGTAGGCCAATATGTTTTAGGCCCTCCCCAAAAAAGTCTCCGGTTTCTGGTATGGAGCTTGCCCAAAAAGTGGTGCGGCGAAGCAGCTTTTTTTTTTTTTTTTACTTTTTTTTTTTGCTTCAAATGTCGGCTGATGACTGCAAATGGTGCCCGACTAAAGAGTGCAAATATTATGGGAGACCAGAGAGGCCACATAAAGCTTATTCTCGATCATAACCCCCATCTAAAAACACGTTAAAATTTTGCAGCAGCAGGATTCCAGTCAAACCAGTGAGTTTGGCGGTTTTGAGACATCATCTTTTATTGAAAAATTTTTTTTTTTCATTTTGCCGACACGCATGGCAACGGCGACGCGCGTGCATACCAGAAACCGGAGCTTTTTTGGGGGCCTTATGGCACACTGCGACATTTTCGTAGGCCCCCAAATGTTTCGTAGGTGCTAGGCACATCAGTGCCAACTGTGCCTATTGGTGAATCCAGGCCTGGGGTTCCAGCCCCATCAGATTCTTAATTCTGAAGGTTTTTTTTCCACTGAAATGTGTTTAATACACTGATGAACATAGACATCATTGTACTGTGTACAACTTGGGCACAGGGTCTTTGTCTACACCAAGTTTGCTGATGATATGGACCCTGTGCACAATGTACCCCCTCAATTGTTACCAAGGGTGAGTCGAGGGAGACATTCCAGCACACTGCCTGTCATGCCTGAGGTACACATGAAGATGCCATGGGTTTATGCACATACCAAATTTTAACAAATAGTGTGTACTTTGCATACTATGTGCGTGTAAAGCGCGCATGAAAGGCACAAAGTACACACAATTTTTTAAGAAATTGTGCTTATTTTATGGTGTCTCCCTCCCACGTTGGCTTTTGAAAGTGGTCACAAAGCACCATCTGTTGTTCATGCACAGAGTCAATTAACTAATTGAAGAAATTACAAAAGTCCCAGGAATCTGTGTACAATGTCTGCGGAAAAGGCATTGCAGCACAGAAATATTATGAGCGACCTTGATATTGAGACTGTAAAGTGTACAAAGAAGTGTGATCATCCATCATTGCATTCTCTTGAGATATGTACACATGGATTACCTCATAAAAGTTTCATGACGTTGTAGCACCAGAGCTACGAACGGGGTCTACCCCATGTTCCCCAATACCTATGTTCCCCAATACCTATGTTCCCCAATACCGATGTTCCCGCAATCCTTAGGATTAGGGTTAGGGTTAGGGTTAGGGTTAGGGTTAGGATTTTGGGGAACATCGGTATTGGGGCACATTGGGGAACATACTACGAACAACTATATAACGTCACTGTGTTATACAAATTCGGGAATGATTCTAAATACTGTTGTGAAATTTCAACCAAAGTTAGTTCAATGATTCTAGAGATATGATGCTAAAATGATAGGTTTTGCTCTTTCGGTTACACCAAAGTATTAGGTCACATGACTTTGATATTACAGCAGAAACACATGATATAATACAATGAAATAGCCAAAGATTCGACATGGCGGTCACAAATTTGCCTTATTAAATATTCATGACAACGTAACATCAGAACAATAGACATTACAGTACTATCAATGTAATATATTCATCTTTGAAAATTGCTGTATATTCATTTGAAACTTCAACCCCATCAAATCGATTATGACATAAATACAGTCTAAAATTACCACTTCCGGTAGCACGGGAAGTAAGGATCACAAGACCTTCAGAACTCAGCAGGCACATTTTCAGTACCAACATGATGCAATCTGAAAAGAACTGGTATCATGTCTTATCGGGGAAAAGAAATTTGAACAAAAACAATACTGTACCTGTTTTCCATTCAGGTTGGGATGGTAAAATTATGCTTCTTCTTGCAGTGCAAATACCAGTCTCTCTCTCTTGTCAACAATTAAAGCCAAATTACTATCGATTTGTGACTTTCCCTGCTTCATGCATTCCATTGTGTAAGGCACACCTCCTTTATTTGTGTTCTTTATTAACTGTCCTTGACGAGTTGGAGATGCAAGTTTGAAATTTCCTGAATAAAAAGTCATTTTCTATGTACTGGTTGAAAAGCCAAATCATACAAAACTACATACATGTATGCTTTCAGCTGAAACTAATACATTTGAATTTGAAAATTGCTGTATGCTATTTATGAGAAAAATATAGTCTGAAATTAACACTTCAGCACCGGAAGTAAGAGTCATATACAGGACCTTGAGAATTCAGCAGGCACATTTTCAGTACCAATATGATGCAATCTGCAATAAACTCGCAGCATATCACACCTTTTCAGGAAAAAAAGAAATTTTAACAAAAACAATAGCTGTTCCCTATTGAGATTGGGAAGGTAAAAAATATGCCTTTTTCTCAGGTCAAAATACAAGTCTCTCTCTCTTGTCAACAATTAAAGCCAAATTGCTATTGATTTGTGACTTTCCCTGCTTCACGCATTCAACTGAGCGCGGTACAACTCTTTCATTTGTGATCTTTATTAACTGTCCTTGGCAAGTTGGAGATGCCAGTTGGAAATTTTCCTGTAAAACACATTGAGGTCTGCACCTTCACTGAGAAGCCATTTTGAAAATACTGGTTGAAAATGAAAAGCGAAACCGTACAAAAACTACATGCTTTCAGCCGAAAATCACTATGGATGTGTTGGATGTTCTGCTTCTTATGGCTGGATTTGAGGCCAGTGTGGCGACTGTTTGCCCTGTTGGCTGGCACCGATATGGAAAGGCTTGCTATTTTGTAGTCAATGAAATAAGAGGCTGGCACATAGCAAAAAGCATCTGTGCTGCTTCTCAAGCAAGCCTTGCAGTTCCCAACTCATTGGAAGAACAGACATTTATATGGGAATTACTCCAGTGGGAGTTTTATCCTGATGGTCCAGGGAATGGAGCCTGGATCGGCTGCAATGACATCGACTGGGAAGGTGATTGGCAGAATTGTCCTCTGAGAGGTGATGATACCAACGCGTACCAGAACTGGAGGGAAGGAAAGCCTGACAATCAGCGCGGTGGGGCTGATTGTGCATTGATGGTCAATTCAGCGGGTGGCAAATGGGGTAACCAGTTATGCACCAATCCAAGATATGCAACATGTGAGCTTGCTATCATCGACTACGACCCTCTATTCTGCCTTCAGATCGGCACCCATGGTCATATCATCTCCCCTTGCCTCACTGATAATCATGTCTTGATGGAGTTTGATCAGGGCCTGGAGTCTTGTGGCATGGCCTGCCTCTCTCATCCCAAATGTAGCTCCTTCAATCTGAAGGACCAAGGCCAGGGCAAGACGGTGTGCCAGCTGAATGACCTCACCCTTCAAAATGCGGCTGATGAAGATGTGGTGGAAATTGAGAACTGCTACGGCCTAGATCTGTAGAAACTGGTTGCATGAAGCAAACTTGGATATGAAAGATATCCTTTAGAATGCTCTTATGAACCCAGGTAGATGAGGCTGTCATTTTCAATGCAAGTACATGTACAAAACACAGTGGTGGCTTACATTTTCACAGCTGAGAGTGAATGACTATTTTGTGGGAGACTTCTTGTGAACTGCAAAGATTTGGAAGGATTTACAATATCAGGAAAACTCGCATTGTAGTCTGTAAGTACAAAATATATTGATGTGGTGACTGGTATATAAACATCTACAGTAATGTCTGCCCAAAAGTAACCTATACACTTTGATTTGTTTACGATGTGAAAAAGGGCAAAAAAATTCCACATCAACAATTGCGATTTGCAATAGTTTAGAAAATGTTGTGTGTAAGGAGCAACATGACATACAAATTATCAGCACTCAGTTTTTACTTTGCACATTTAGCTGTTTAGAAGACAGAAACCTACAGAAGAAATAACTATATTTGGGTTTAATGTTGTTACAGTAATGCTACCTATAATTAATGCACTGAAGGTGTTTATAATTGTCTGTAAATAGTTCATTTTAAAAATTTGGGAAGCAAATATTTGGCTATTATTTTTTTTAAATCAAAGTCTGAAACATCAAATGACATCATCATGACATCACCTTTTGTGTAATATAGAATTACACATGCAATGGATCATATAAATATGACAGCAGTTTTTAATGCACATCTTCATCAATGCCAATGCTGCCACAACATTATTTGTGTGAAGAATAGGGTTGAAAAAAATTGAAAATCTTCTTCGCAAAAGATACATTGATGTTGTTCAGCATTTATATCCTAGTCATGCACCATCAGTTATTTAGTTATCCACTAATATTCTTTACACTGAAAGGACGTGACATGTGGTCAATATGACATCAGTGTTTGAGGTACCATACACACATACTATTTCAGCATAGGGTCTTTGTCCACACCAAGTTTCATTAAGATATGAAAGAATGGGGAAGTGACAATATACAGAAAACAGTGTACAATGTCTGTGCGGGAAATATGGGCCTTTTTGTCTCATTCTAAAGAAAAAGCTTCTATAATAACAAAGATCAACCGTGAAAGTCATCGGCTATTTTTAGCTGTTAATTAATGGGAAGCAACTGTTGAAAAAAGCAATATTCCTAACAGTGTACTCAACTCTTAACTACACAACGCCCAAAACAGCGTTGTCAGGGAAACAAACTTTAACAATCCTCCACTTTGATTGCTTTGTGCATTCGACTGAGAAGGGTAAGCTTCTGTCATTTCGCGTTATTAACTGTCAGTCGCTGTTGGAAATTTCCATTCAAAACACATTGTGGGTCTACAATAAGAAAAAAAAACAATGTCATCGTGACGTCATTTCGGATTTTGCAAAACATATATTATCTACTTTCCCTCCAAGTTTCATGACGACAGGACCTTCCCTTAGGTGCTGTAACAATTGCATTTTTGATGACGTCATCATGAGGTCACACACTTTTCACATATCTATGACCTAACAAACCATTTACAGAAAGAATTTTGAATTTACTATGTTGCGTTCGTTAGATACGGCAATGAACTTCAAAATGTACAAAATCCATACAAAATCATATGACATCATCTTAATGTCACCTTCAGTTATAGCACATCCCGATATGTGTGAAAAGAAAATTTCGACCCAATCTGCCTTGTAGTTCTCTAGATATAGGCCATTAAAATATGCTCCTGTGATGACGTCACTTGGCAAATGATGATGTCATCATGATATTAATTGATGAGACACAACTTTGCAGTAGGGGCTATGTCTATGCTAACTTTGAATTATGATTATGTATGATAAAGATGAAAGGCAAAAGTTACGTCCAGAAAAGACGCGTACAAAGTCTATGGGATTTGGGATACAACAAAAAGAAAAGGAAGAAGAGGAATAAGTAGAAAAGGAAGAAGAAAGGAAAAAATGCAAACAAAAAGAAAAAAATTTCTGCAATTTTGCAGACAAGCAACCCAAAAAAGAGAAAATGTGCCTTTTAATGGTAGTACAAAGAGAACCTATGATCATTAAGATCAACCGTGAAAGCAATCAGTTGTTTTGAGCTTGAAGATGAATACAAAATTTGTCAAAAAAATGCAATATTCCCAATTCTAACCAACTGCTGATTACAATCCAATTCAATTCAATTTGACTTGATTATCCCTAACAGGAAATTCCGTTGAACCTTTTGCATTGAACCAGCTGATGAAAATGTTAAAAATGACGAATGAATTACACACAAAAACACAATACTTCACTAAAAAGAAAGTTATTAAACAAGATAAAGAATAAATTGCATGTCATGCATGTGGGTACGATTAAATCCCGTGTTGGTCTCTGTAATATTGTATAATTATCATTGTTCCAACTGCTCATTAAAAATCTGAACAGCTGAAGCGACAAATGTGTTGCTATACTGCTATATAGTCCTTATCCTCCGCTGTAAAAGATGATAACTCCCTGCACTAGTTCTATTACATTTTTCATACAAAGGGCGAGTTTCATCTGACCGAATCATTTCAGCCTTGTACAGCATCAGAGATTTATACAGGTTGTCAGTCAATGATTGATAAGAACCAATTATTGTGCTCGCTTGCTTAAATTAGACAACAGCCAAAGCAGCATTGCCATGGAAACAGTCTAGTAACAATCCCTGACTTTGTTTGCTTTGTGCATTCAACTGAGTAGGGTAAGCCTCTTTCATTTTGTGTTCGTTATCAACTGTCAGTTGCTGCTGGAAATTTCCATGCGAAACACGTTGTGGTCCTACATATCAGAATTTGATTGAAATTGCTGGTAGAAAAGCTGGGCAATACTGAGGCAACAATACAAAACTACATATCCTTTATACAACTGAAAATTCCTAATTATCAGAAACAGCATGGATGTGTTGAGTATACTGCTTCTCATTGCTGGATTTGAGGCCAGTGTGGCGACTGTTTGCCCCGTTGGCTGGCACCGATATGGAAAGGCTTGCTATTTTGTGACCAAGGAACTAAATAGTTGGCACAAAGCAAAAAGCACCTGTGCTGCTTCTCATGCAAGCCTTGCAGTTCCCAACTCAATGGAAGAACAGACATTTATATGGGAATTACTCCAGCGGGAGTTTTATCCTGATGGTCTAGGTAATGGTGCCTGGATCGGCTGCAATGACATCGACCGGGAAGGTGTTTGGCAGAATTGTCCTCTGAGAGGTGATGAGACCAACGCGTACCAGAACTGGGGGGAAGGAAATCCTAGCAACCAGTACAGCGGAGCTGATTGCGTATTGATGGGTGGCAGGGCAGGTGGTGTATGGTGGAATCAGTACTGTATTAATCCCAGATATGCAACATGTGAGCTTGCTATCTTCGACTACAACCCTCTATTCTGCCTTCAGATCGGCTCCGATGGTCACATCACCTCCCCGTGCCTCACTGATAATCACATCTTGATGGAGTTACAGGCTCAGGGTCTGGTGTCTTGTGGCAAGGCCTGCCTCTCTCATCCCAAATGTAGCTCCTTCAATCTGAAGGACCAAGGCCAGGGTAAGATGGTGTGCCAGCTGAATGACCTCGCCCTTCAAAATGCAGCTGCTGAAGATGTGGTGGAAATTGAGAACTGCTACGGCCTGGATCTGTAGAAATTGCTTACATGATGCAAACTGATACCAAACAATCCCCTTCAGAATGCTCTTATGAACAGGTAGTTGGGGCTGACATTTTCAAGGCAAGCACAAAGGGCAGCGGTGCCTTACATTTTCATGGCTGAGAGTTAATTACTATTTTATGAGAGACTTTCTGTGAACTGCTAATATAAGATTTTGGAAGGATTTTCAATATCAGGGAAAGCCACCATAGTGTGTAAGTACGATATATATTTATCAGTGTTAGTTGTAATTGGCATAAAAATGGCAATGGCAATTTTTGCTTTGTAATTTAAATTGTTTGTGGTAGATACCGGTATTTAGGAAATATTGTGTGGTAAAAAGAAGCAAATATCCTCACTGTTTTTGGTTCATTCAAACAGATGGCATAAAAGGGCACATTAATGCAAAGTTTCGTTCTGGGGTCACTATGAGCACAACACAATGAAAAAACATTTTGCATTTTTTAATTGTAACTTTTTAAAATAAATTTGGAAAAGAAATAGTAATTGTGGTTTAATATTGTCGTACTTTGGATACTTGTACATGTGAAAAGTAGGTTTTTATTTTACCGAAAGTATTAGCAATTGCTTGTAAAATTCATATGTAGCAAAATATGTGACATAGGGAACCCCCCCCCCCCCTTTTGTCTTGGTGATTGCGTTACCAGAAACTAAGGAATTCTTTCGAGATAACAACATCCACATGTGGTGTACACTATGACTTTTTGGACTTGATTTCTCTTAAAAACATGAGAAAAATATAAAATTAGAAAAAGAGAAATGAATTCAAACGTAATGACATTCGGACTTCATTTCCTCATTCAAAAAAATCCTCAAAAGCCTCAGATTAGAAAAGAACGAAAATCCAGGTAGACATGGTGAATCGGACCCTTTGCAACAGAATCCAGTGAGAAGAGCCAAAATAATATGTTCATATGTTTAATTTTCTGCGTTTTCTAAAAATGTATAGGAGCCACCAAGCTGAAGCTTTAAGAAGTTATTTGTTATGCATCCTTCTCAAGATTTCGAGCAAATTTGTTGTTTCAAACACAAAGCAAATGATTATACATGTACCATATAAATTTAGCAATAACATGTGAACTGTATATACATGTAATATGCTGTTTGTGATTTGGCTGTAGAAAACTCTAGTAATAATAATGCACAAAAAAACCTGAAATCTAACCGTACAATTGGGACAAAAACAGCTGTTTCAGGCATCCGTTAAAGGACAAATTTGGAAAGGGGTGGCAAAACCGTATGGAAAAAAGCCATTTTTTTTCTGTTTCTCTATTGAAATGAATGTGCAGCTTGTGATGCTGAGCTACTGAGGAAAATTTGGAAGTAAAAAGTTGTTAATAACGTAGGCAATATTGGATTAAGATTTAGTCACCACATTTTTAATTGACTTGTTATAAAATTAGTGAATTGTGAAATCAAAATAAATGTGATTGATGTGAAAATACGAATTGAATGTTCAGGTGATTGAACTTTGATCGACATAAAATGTGCATTTCTGAAATTAACGACCTCCAGCAATGCAATTTCACGGCCAGGATGCAAAAATGTTGTTTGAAAGTTTCTGGGTCAAAAAGATCCAATGAGCTGGAAATTTCACAAGCCCTCCCTTTGTTTTCAGCTGACATGCAGTCTCACTGAGCCAGACTGAACCCAATCACTTTACAAACAATGCTAACATGTGCACAGGACTGTTATCACCAAATGTTGGCAATCATTAACACCAAAAGCGAATGGTTTTCCTGAGTCATTTTGTTATTGGCTGACCCGAAACCGACCCGACCCGAAACCGACTTCTGTTCAAAACGGATCGGTTTTCCATCATTTCAGTCGGGTCAGGTTGGTTTCGGCTTGCGTTTGCGATTATCAGTTCAGGTCAGGTCTGTTAAGCCATCTTGTAAAAAAAAATTTTTGAAAAAATCATACAACGTCAGTTCGGGTCGGTTCGGTTCGGGCTGGTATGGGTCAATTTTTCCCTAAATTTTTGTCGGGTCGGGTCGGATTTGGGGAGTTCAGCTCAGTTTCAGTTTGGATTCGGTTTATATCTATTATAGTGTTGCGGGTCGGTTTGGCCTGGTCAACCCAATTCAATGCACAACATTAGTTGCAGCTGCTCTATTCCACTTCCCACATCTGCAGTAATTTCATATTTTTATTGGCGAAATTTCACTTCCAGTCACATACATTTTTTCGAGCATTTTAAAAGATGCTATGTGACACTTGTTGATTGGCAAACAGGGCTCGGCCATTTTTACAACAGGTTTTCGACGACATTATCGTTCCTCTTGGGCTTGGCACATTCGCAAAGCCTGGCTAATGAATGCAAACACATTTGCACAACTACAATGCATCCAAGGTACAAATGAAAGATTGAAATTACTTACTCTAAGAACGCACAGTTCTTGGTGTCATCCGCGACTGGTTTCTCGCCTCCTATCCAGTTTCTGTAGTCCAGGGAGGTATCGTCACTGTACAACCAAGTTCTCTCCACTTTTTTGTCAGTTACACCGATCCACCAATCAGCTGTACACAAAGGCAACAAAGAATGTGAGGTTACTCACTGACTATGAATTTGAATGACTTTCATTCATTGGAATTTGATTTGAAACCCTACGTGGGGGAGGGGGCATTCTACACACACAGTTCCATAATCACATTGTAATTTCCTGTGCACATTTCAATGGGTCTCTAGGGGCTAATACACGCACTCTTGTTTTACTATACTCCCGAGGACAATGCTTTGTGTTTTCCTTTGTCCCTGTAATATAACACACTCCCATAGACTAAGCACACAAAGCTACTACAAAGGACCGTTTTGGACAAAAGACCCAACTCCCGAGGACTGAAAGGATCTGTTGTTCTCCCTTTGTGTGTCTGTCCTTGGGGGTTTTGTAGCACAAGTACCAACCTCGTGCCCCGTGGGTACGAGATCTTGCAGCACCATGATGTTTCCCATCATGCCTTGCGCGATCGTAACCCCTGGAATTGTGTAATTTAAATGTACCAAAATACGGTACATTATAAGTAGGGCTGCAGTTTATCCGTTTTACGTGCCGACGCCATCTTTAAAATATTAAAAGTTCTGATTTTGAAGAATCAATCCTTTCAAACACAACGTTTGGACGTTGTGTTAATTAGCAAAGATTTGTATTAAATGTACGTACCCCTTTCGTGCCTTTACAACCACAGATACAGGGGTTTTTTTTAGCGAAAAACGCGGCTGACATAATCCATATCATACAGGCATCGCGACTTTTGAATCATAATTTTTTTTTCGTACGTGACGCTACGTGCAAAGCTAAGCACGCGAGTGCAAGCGCATTATGGGCGCGCCCGGCGTGCAATCTTCGAAATGCCCGCGCAGTACGCTGTGAATAGCCATTCAGCATCATTGACGTCATCATCACAGCCAGGGATTAGTGTAAGGAACGAGCACACGCCCCTGGAGTCGAGGCTGAACAAGTACACTTCTACATACACGGTAACAGTCGTACAGCAGTTTGTTGTACACATTTGATCACTTTGGGGTGTTGTAGTGATTAGAAGACTGCAATTATTATTGCCCTGCAGGGAGGCCGGTTAGACTCACTAGGGTTTTACTACACAAACATGTGGTTCTTGTCAAAGGGCTGGTGTTTGGCTAGAATTTTCAGTGTCAACAGTTAACCCAGGCTAAAGTAGCACTCACCACATTACTTGTTTGAATATGGAGCTTGTGAAATGTAAACAAAATTGACCAAAACATATTGGAGTAACTAAAAAATTAAGCAAACAAAGACTTTATTTTAAGGTACAATCCCTCAGTGGAGGGTTTTAATTATCACATTTTTCTAACCTTCAAAGCCACTCTCCGCAATGCTCTTGACGACCATATCCTGGACACTTGCATCAGTGATTTTGGCAAGTCGGCCGCCGTCTTTGCTGCAGTATGTCTGCGCATCTTCCCATGATGCATCAGTCTTCCACAACAAGTAGTACAGGGTCAGGCGACGCCCGCCTTTGGGTCGTCTTTTCTCTTTAATGGGATTAAAATAAAAAAAGAACAGCTCACTCAAACATCACTTCACCACATAAGAAAAGTTGAATGTTTATAAGATCATAATGTTTCCTTGATTCTTAACCAGTTCGCGCCGGGATTATTTTTGCCGAAAATTTCGATTTTCGATAAAGGCAAAATATAGCCGCCAACTTCTGATATACAGCCAAATGCCACAAGTACTGATTCACAAGATACATTTCAACAGTATTTGTACGATATTTCTTGCTGAAACCTCATATTTTCAACACTCCGGGGTGTGCAATGGGGCGTAAATTGTAGAACAATAGGCAGTGCACAGCGGCCAATTCAAGATCAACACATGGTCCGCTCAGTTCACAAGTACTACCTCAACGGCAAAGAAAGTACAGTTGGGGGTGACCGAACGACGCCATCTTGCCTGACTGCAATGTTTTGCCGCGAAGCGCAGCCACTGCATGTACATAGTACAAATCCCCTGGTGTACATGTGTCACACACAAGGAACGGTGCGCGCGCGCGCGTCAACCAGCGAAATGCATGTGTCCCGCCCATGGGACGTCGTTGCTAGGTAAAAGGGCGCCCTCTTTTGTTGACGCACCGAGCCCATACAAGTTAAGTTTCAACATCTCACTTTAGATTTTGAGCTTTATTATTTCACAAAACATGGACAAATAAGGATTTATGCAAAGTACTATACAAGCCTTTAAAAATGCAGTTCCACTGCAATGATATATCAATTAAGACAGCAAAGTACAGCTAAACTTGACTCCACGCATAGCTTCAAATCAAACTATCGAAAGGAAAGACAATAGAAGACATTAAGCAAGACGGAAGGAAGTGAGATGAGACCAAAAAAAGACCAAACATGACAGACACAACAAGTGTGGCCTAGTGGTAAAGCTAGCGGCGGCGGAGCTGTTTTCAAAGTGGGGGGGGGGGGGGGGGCATCACCAAAAAGCGGCACTTGCTCAGTAAAAGGCATCGTCCATCGGTGCAGCAGCGTATCCATCATTTTGGGGGGGGGGGGGGGTGTGGGCACATCCATTTTTTTCACCGAACACTTGGCCTCCGTAAAATCAAATAGTGTGTGTGTTGGGGGGGGGGGGGGGGGGGGGGGGGGGGGGGGCTGGTACCAACATTCATAACTTTTGTGAATTCGCAGAGCGAAAAACTTGCCCTGACGTCACAAATTTCGTGTTCGCGCCGAGTGTGTACCAGCCTTAATTTTTTTCACTTATGACGATGAACAACCATTCTGCGACAGACAACTAAAGAGGAAACCTCCAATGATTGACTCACTTTCCTTGTAGTATCCCCACAGCTGCAGTCTGATGGCTGCAAAGTTCTCCCAGGACACTGGATAGAATTTGAGCTTGGAGACGTTCATGTCTTCCGGGAAGTTGTAGCTCGCCGTTTTGTAGGCTCGGTCAACCACAGGATCAAATGCCAG